GTAAAAAAAGTTTTTGATTTGTGTACAACAAATAAAATATGCTTGATGGGGAATGAGACAACTTTTGTTTGAACATACTATATTATCGAAACACTTATGTTTGCACTTATTCTGATTGTTTGAAGAGATGCACAATATCATGAAATATATGCAGATATATAAATTAGCGCCCAAATTATGGTTGTCTTAATGTAGTGATACTAAATGTGAAAAATGGCTCATCTTACCCCAGTCTCCCTATTTACTGTAACTCAGTGGCCACTTTATAAGGTACACCTTGCCAGTACCGAGTTGGACCCCCTTTTGTCTTCAGAACTGTCTTAATCCTTCGTGGCATAGATTCAACAAGGTACTGGTACCTCAGAGAGTCTGGTCAATATTGACWTGATGGCATCACGCAGTTGCTCAGATTTGTCYGCTGCACATCCAGGATGTTAATCTCCAGTTCCCCTACGTCCCAAAGGTGCTCTATTGGATTGAGATCTGGTGACTGTGGAGGCCATTTGAGTACAGTGAACTCATTGTTGTGTTTAAGAAACCAGTCTGAGATGATTCACTCTTTATGATATGGCTTGTTATCCTGCTGGAAGAAGCCATCAGAAGATGGGTACATTGTGGTCATAAAGGGATGGACATGGTCAGCAGCAATACTCAGGTAGGCTGTGGCATTGACACGATGCTCAACTGGTACTAATGGGCCCAAAGTGTGCCAGGAATATATCCCCCACACCATTGCACCACCACCAGCCTGAACCAGTGATACAAGGCAGGATGGATCCACGCTTTCATGTAGTTGATGCCATATTCTGACCCTACCATCCGAATGTCGCAGCAGAAATCAAGACTCATCAGACCAGGTAARGTTTTTCCAATCTTCTATTGTCCATTTTTGGTGAGCCTGTGTGAATTGTAGCCTCAGTTTCCTGTTCTTAGCTGACAGGACTGGGACCCAGTGTGGTCTTCTGCTGTAGCCCATCCACCTCAAGGTTTGWTGTATTGTGTGTTCAGAGATGCTCTTCTGCAGACCTCGGTTGTAACGAGTGGTTATTTGAGTTACTGTTGTCGTTCTATCAGCTCGAACCAGTCTGGCCATTCTCCTCTGACCTCGGGCATCAACAAGGCGTTTGTACCCACAGAACTGCCGCTCACTGGATGTTTTCTCTTTTTCGCACCATTCTCTGTGAACCCTAGAGATGATTGTGGGTGAAAATCACAGTAGATCAGCAGTTTCTGAAATACTCAGACCAGCCCGTCTGGCACCAACAACTATGCCACGTTCAACACTTAAAGTGTTTGTGACATGCATATTCTTCAAATACAAAAATACAAAGAAAACACCTTTATATTTAAGAAAGTTCGAATAATACACACAATTTTACCCATTTTGTCCCTTAACTGGCATATATTTTTGAACTTGGCTCAGCCAAAGTAAAACAGGACGTGACATCAAAGGGGAACTCTAACAAAGYAAAATCTCTGGTCTTTGTTTATTGAAACAGTAATATTTGGACTCTGACTTTTCCTTATCTCTCTCTGAATGTGCCTCAAAATAGTCTAAAGAAATATCAGATTCTTCTCTACAGTCTGGGTTGTTGGCTGTTGTAGCAATGCTCTGTTCACATACAGACATTCCCCTTTGACATCACTTCCTGTTGCTTCACAGGCCAATATCTCAACAACTGTTCATCTCAGCAACATCAAATTTCTTTTGCAATATTTTATCAATGTCATCTTTCAAATAATGAATTCATATGTATTACAAAATTTTGACATCACAGACACTTTAAATCACCTTTCTTCCCCATTCTGATGCTCGGTTTGAACTGCAACAGATCATTTTGGCATGTCTACATGCCAAAATGCATCGAGTCGCTGCCATTTGATTGGCTGATTCAACATTTGCATTAATGAGCAGTTGGACAGGTGTACCTAATAAAGTGGCAGATGAGTGTATATACATATATCATTAGCTACAGCACTAATTTACTAAACCCAAGTCTAAATTCAAGTCTAGTCCAACAAGTCATGTAACTTTTAAGCTTAACCACACAAAACTGTGCTGCACAAGAAAACACTTTGGTGTGTGTTTATATTTTTAAAACCATCAAAGTCAAAAGAAAGAACAAGAGCAGATGGTAGATAACACCTGAAGGCCTGGCAGCGAGGCGATGTTGAAGTGGCCAGTGGGTTAAACTCTAACTAAATGAGGTTTTCCTCTCTTTACCTGCTCGGTCTTATGTTTTATGATGGTTCCTGAGAAGCTAACAGCCATGGATGCTGCAGGAACTGCAAATACATGAGAATAAATCCATAAAATCTGACGTCAAATCAACAAATGAAACACGATAAGCTGCTTGAATATCCAAAATATAACGTAAGTTATTTGTACATTATCTACACTGAGGCAATCCCTGTTTTACAAAATGCTTTAAGAAGATGAAACAGCAAAGGGAAACAAAGTGTGAAAACATTTTAGTTAAATCAACTTTTATCTGGCTTACGAGTGAAAAAACAAACAGATTGATAAGTTTATTTCCGGAAATAGATTTCATAACATTATAATTTACCTTATCTCACTGAAGCCACTTTTTAAAAACTATTCATTTTGTATGGTGAAGAATAAATATTATGATACATGACTCTGTGCTTTAATCAAATTAGATTTTTGAGTTTATTCAAGTATTTTTTATGAATAGGCACACAAAAGTAACTTTAGGTATTAGTGCTGAGTAATATTCCTCAATAATGCACAATGTTAAACAAAGATAGATTTTATTTATAATTTCTTAAAGAATAAATGTAAAATGAGCACGAGGAGGGAAAAGAATCTTGATAGTGTTTGATTGTAACTCAGGAGGTGGAGCAGGTTGTTCATTCAGCACAGACCATTTATTAATTTGCTTTATATTTATATATATTTTAAAACTTTTTCTTGTCTCTGTGGACCTACAAGTGTTTTCAATGAATGAATGAATAAATCAATCAATCACAATTTTAAAAGTGTGTTGCAATGTTGGCATCAGTGGTAACTTCTTGTGATTATTGTTCTGCACTTATTTTATCACAGGCATTTAAATTCTGTACATAATACACTCACCYGCCACTTTATTAGGTACACCTGTCCAACTGCTCGTTAACACTTAATTTCTAATCAGCCAATCACATGGCGGCAACTCAGTGCATTTAGGCATGTAGACATGGTCAAGACAATCTCCTGCAGTTCAAACCGAGCATCAGTATGGGGAAGAAAGGTGATTTGAGTGCCTTTGAACGTGYCATGGTTGTTGGTGCCAGAAGGGCTGGTCTGAGTATTTCAGAAACTGCTGATCTACTGGGATTTTCACACACAAACATCTCTAGGGTTTACAGAGAATGATCCGAAAAAGAAAAAACATCCAGTGAGCGGCAGTCCTGTGGGCGGAAATGCCTTGTTGATGCCAGAGGTCAGAGGAGAATGGGCAGACTGGTTRGAGCTGATAGAAAGGCAACAGTGACTCAAATAACCACCCGTTACAACCAAGGTAGGCAGAAGAGCATCTCTGAARGCACAGTACGTCGAACTTTGAGGCAGATGGGCTTCAGCAGCAGAAGACCACACCGGGTGCCACTCCTTTCAGCTAAGAACAGGAAACTGAGGCTACAATTTGCACAAGCTCATCGAAATTGGACAAGAGAAGATTGGAAAAACGTTGCCTGGTCGGATGAGTCTCGATTTCTGCTGCGACATTCGGATGGTCAGAATTTGGCATCAACAACATGAAAGCATGGATCCATCCTGCCTTGTATCAACGGTTCAGGCAGGTGGTGGTGGTGTCATGGTGTGGAGAATCTTTTCTTGGCACTCTTTGGGCCCCTTGGTACCAATTGAGCATCGTTGCAACGCCACAGCCTACCTGAGTATTGTTGCTGACCATGTCCATCCCTTTATGACCACAATGTACCCAACATCTGATGGCTACTTTCAGCAGGATAATGCGCCATGTCATAAAGCTGGAATCATCTCAGACTGGTTTCTTGAACATGACAATGAGTTCACTGTACTCAAATGGCCTCCACAGTCACCAGATCTCAATCCAATAGAGCATCTTTGGGATGTGGTGGAACGGGAGATTCGCATCATGGATGTGCAGCCGACAAATCTGCGGCAACTGTGTGATGCCATCATGTCAATATGGACCAAAATCTCTGAGGAATGCTTCCAGCACCTTGTTGAATCTATGCCACGAAGAATTGAGGCAGTTCTGAAGGCAAAAGGGGGTCCAACCCGTTACTAGCGTGGTGTACCTAATTAAGTGGCCGGTGAGTGTATATGACAGCTAAGAACTCCTTAAATGCCACTGCAGTTGTCTACATTAATGTCTATCATTTGGTAATTTTAGTTTACCTTTTTATACTAATGTGAGTGATTTAGTAAAATTGGGCTAACAGCCAGTATTCAAGGTTGGTGTTTAAATCTAGTTTTTTTGATAATTTGCACCAGTTTACTTTTATGTCCAAATGTCTATTTAATTTAGTTTTATTGGTATATTTCTGTTGTGACAGCACACTGTCATGTAATGTTACTGGATGTCAGAAAGAAACAGGTAGATTGTTTATATCTGATAAAAAGGACCGGAAGAAGGCATTTAGATAATGCATTGCAAAACAATGACATTTAAGAAGTGCTATAGTACCTGTCAAAAAGTCAATTTGGTATATAAGTGTATTTTTTTATTACTTCTTGATTTATGTCTAGTCTTTTACAGGGTTAGGAGAAAAATCACGAACYTTAAAAAAGTGGGGCAACATTTTCAGCTTGGTTTCCGTCAGAGCAGCTTCCTTGGCAGGAGGCTGTCGAATCATTCATGTTTCCTCTCTGCACCATTTGAATCCATGCCCAGACATCTGCTCCCGTTGCAGTAAAACTGATGACAGACTAAATACTATTTTATTAAAACCATAAAAATCTAAAACCAGTGAAAAGTAAATAAAGCATGAGTAAAGTCTCAACCTACGAACCATGGCAGCCAATAGAGCTTTTATTGGACACTTTGTACAATAAATCCTTGTTGTATAATGTTGGAATAACTTCATATAAAAGTACATGTAGATATATTAGAAATAATAGAAAGCTGATTAATATATGTAGAGACCCACCTCCATTTTCTTAATAAATATTTACACAAGTACTGAAATATAAAAAAAGGGTTCATACGGATCCTTTTTCCAGTCAATATCTACAACAATATTTTCATTAAAAAAAAGATCAGTGTGTAAATTATGGCAATAGAGGAATAATTTTCTCTGAATGTGCCTGAGCATTATTGCACTGCAGGGACAGCCTAGATATTATTAACTGACCTACTCTATCAACATTCAGAAACACAACAACGTAATACTTAAAAGAGCATCTTATTTAAACTGATTTAAAAGGAAAACATTTTTTAAGTATTTTCATTCAAAATAGCATCATATCCTAAAAAAACAAACATTTACAGCATTCTATAACCATATGTTGACATCCCAAATACTGCCATACTGTTTAGTATTAACACAGAACCACAAAGGCTCATCAGCAATTCACTGCCGTCTTTTCGAGTGCAAAATATTCAACTTTGCAGACTGCAGTCATCAGTGCTATATGGCTTTCTGGAAGGAAAAAAAAACAATGTCTTTTCACAATAAAAGTCCAGCCTATGAATAAAGACACTCTGCTGCTTGCATAGCTTGAGGTATAGCAGCTCCACAACTGTTCTGCAACCATGAACAATATTTATAAAAAAAGTAGCCACTTTTATATATGAGTTACAGATCAGATTTTTTTTACTAAAAACAAAGAACATCCTAATATTCAAATATGTCCTCACTTTGCAACTGCTACGCACACACATAAAAACATCTTATATTTAATCACAAAATTTACATCTCAAATTTAGCACTGTTTGTTTTCTTTTTTTTAAAAAAGGTCCAGCTTTGATTTACCAATTTTTTGGACTTTCTTTCTTGCTTGACACCAAACAGCACAAAGACCACATTATTTAAGTTTCAGATCCAGTCCAGAATCGCTGTAAAGCCAGAAGTGTAAACCTCCATTTATTTCCCGTCGCTGTMTGGCTCCTCCAATCAGATCTCAGTGAGGGTTAGTTTGTACATGCCGCCAATTTCCTCCATGCTGATCTGAAAGGTGTCTTCATTGGAGTAGTGTTTGATGATGTTGTCGTCCATGTGGACTAGAATACTGTTAAACACAGAAGCGGGTCGATACAATTAGCGTTGGGCGACATYGGCAAAAAATTCATCACGATTAACTGGAGAAGGGGGTCTCTACAATCACTAAGTGGGAGGTTCTTATGGTGTGGGAGGAGTCTGTTAAAGACATGATTGGTCAGGCTGACTATTTTGAGTGGGGTTTGAAGAATCGATTCAGATGGATGAATGCTGGGAAGCTGTAGGGGACGTCTAACAATTCAGTTTGGTCAAAACAGCCAGAAAGCAGCAAACTTTGAATAATAATATCATCATAACTCAAGACAGGAATGCAAGCTGCACAAAATTTGAACACTGTACTTTTCAAGGGACGTTTAACAGTTTGGTTCAGTCTGTACGTTCTGGCTTTTTTCCTCATTTTCCAGTTTATGGTTGTGTTTCAGGCGATTAGCAATGTGTTAGCATTAGCTCTACGTCGCAGTGACTTCTATAAGTCCCCAATCACAGTAATTGCCAAGTGCCAAATGTAAAATTAGTGACAGTTTTTCTGATGATTTATTGCTCAGAATTAAAACTTAGTTTCTCAAAACATTTTTAAATAAAAACGTATACAACAGGTAAGGTATTTACGACAGAGTATTAGTGCCACACAAGATTTTTTTTTATTTAATTATGAAAATAATATCCTAATAATAAAAGATTAAAGTCGTAATATTATGAAAAAAAGCCATAATCTTGCATTTTCCTATTTTTTAAATTCATTTTCCACCTGCTGTAGACAGCCATGCATGTCATTGTGTTTTTAAAGTAGTCCACGATAACTTCTGGGTCACTGTTAATACTTTCATCCAAATTACGTGACAATTAATGCAGCCATTGATATAGCTTCAGTTTATCCTATAGTTATTTGCAGAATCGTTTCAAAGTCCTGCTACTGATAATTTTATGTTTATGTGCTAAAATGTTGAGTAGCCATCTGTTCGTTTGTTTTCTTCCACTTATCTGAGGTTGGGTCACGGAGGCAGCAGCCTTTGCAGAGAAACCCAGACTTCCCTCTCCCCAGCCACTTCGGCCAGCTCATCTGGGGGAATCCCAAGGTGTTCCCAGGCCAGCTGAGAAACATAGTCCCTTCAGTGTGTCCTAAGTCTTCCTCTGGCTCTCCTCCCAGTGGGACATGCCCGGAACACCTCACCAGGGAGGCATCCTAACTAGATGCCCGAGCCACCTCAACTGGCTCCTCTCGACATAGAGGAGCAGCAGCTCTACTCCAAGTCCCTCCCGGATGACTGAGCTTCTCACCCTATCTCTAAGGGAGAGCCCAGACACCCTGCAGAGGAAACTCATTTCGTCTGTTTGCATCCGCGATCTCGTTCTTTCGGTCACTACCCAAAGCTTATGGCCATAGATGAGGGTAGGAACATAGACCGACTGGTAAATCGAGAGCTTTGCCTTCTGGCTCAGCTCTCGCTTCACCACGACAGACCGGTACAGCGCCCGCATCACTGCAGACGCTGCACCAAGCCGCCTGTTGATCTCCCGCTCCATTCTTCCCTCATTCATGAACAAGACCCCGAGATATTTATACTCCTCCACTTGGGGCAGGACCCCCTCCCCAACCTGGAGAAGGCACCCTACCGTTTTCCGGCTCAAGACCATGGTCTCGGATTTGGAGGCACTGATCTTCATCCCGGCCGCTTCACACTCYGCTGAGAAGCACTCCAGTGAGAGCTGGAGATCACGATCTGATGAAGCCAATAGGACTACATCATTCGCAAAAAGCAGAGATGTGATCCTAAAGTCACCAAAATGGATCCCCTCAACACCTTGGCTGCGCCTAGAAATTCTGTCCATGAAAGTTACGAACAGAATCGGTGACAAAGGGCAACCTTGGTGGAGTCCAACTCTCACCGGAAACGAGTCCGACTTACTACCAGCAATCCGGACCAAGCTCTGACACTGGTCGAACAGTCCGTATCAAAGGGCCTGGTACCCCATACTCCCGGAGTACCCCCCACAGGAGTCCCTGAGGGACACGAGGGGCAAACTCCCTTGCACCCTCCAGGACCCTGCRGAGGGTGTAGAGTTGGTCCAGTCTTCCACGACCAGGACGAAAACCACGCTGCTCTTCCTGAATCCGAGATTCTGAATAGACCTTACCAGGGAGGCTCAGAAGTGTGATCCCCCTATAGTTGGAACACACTCTGTGGCTCCCCTTTTTAAATAGGGGGACCAACACCCCAGTCTGCCAATCCAGGGGAACTGCCCCCGATGTCCACCCAATATTGTATTGAGTCGCGTCAACCAACACAACCACACAACATCCAGAGCCTTAAGGAACTCTGGYCGAATCTCATCCACCCCCCGGCGCCTTGCCACCGAGGAGCTTTTTAACCACCTCAGTGACCTCGGCAGCAGAGATTGGAGAGTCCAACCCAGGGTCCCCAGGCTCTTCTTCCTCATAGGAAAACGTGTCGGTGGGATTGAGGAGGTCTTTGAAGTATTCTGCCCACCGACCCACAGCGCCCCGAGTTGAGGTCAGCAGTGCACCATCTCCACCATAAATAGTGTTGGGGGCGAGTAGCATCTTTTAAAAACAACTTCACAAGTTGTTCAACATTCCTCATTTTAATGCAGAGGTAAGATTACTTTTTCTTGTAAAGGTTCTCATAATATTATCACTTTAATCTTGTAATATTCTGACTTTATTCATTCTCGTAATGAAAAAATAAGAAAAATCTTGTTATGTGGCCTTAAATACTCTGTCGTAGGTAATAACTGTTCGTGATCTTCTATGAATTTGGATTTAAAAGTCAGTCTCACCCTTTCTTGCACTTCTTGTAGACTTTTCCAACTTTGTCCAGAGGCAGCTCGTATTTCTCTGAAATCTGGTTCAGAAAAAAAAACAAATCATGTCAGGATTAAATTCTTACCCCCTCACTCACAAACAACTTTATTTTGATCCCACTGGCATGGTGTATTTCCTAGACTTTATTATCACAACTGAATGCCTAACCCTGACCTTTAGGACCAAASTTCAACGCTCAAACAGCACCTTTCACCTGTCCATGTCAAACGTTTTGTCATACGTTTGAGCTCTCAGCGATACACTCACGCAGGGGAACAAGTTGTTCTTGTGTCAAAAGACACTTCAAACTCAACTGCTCCACATAGCTAACTTACTGTACATGTTTAAACTTCTCAAGTTGCATCTTTGCCTTTTGGATATGTTGTCCCAAGAACAAAAAGTGAATTCTTCCTTCTTTTTTTTTCTCTCTCCCCTCACCTCCTCCTCCCACACAGTTTGTTTGACACAGAGAGAATTTGCCCTCCAGCTGCCGTGTGAACAGCTTTAAAGTCTGATGTGAAACGGGAACAGGAAGTCATAGGAACGAAGAACTCACAGCTTCCACCAGGCCTTGCAGCGTGGGATTCTTCAGCATGAGGGCATCAAACACCTCCTCTGATTCTTTGCGCACGTACAGCAGGACTGTGTGGTGAAAAGTGAAAGAAGACYGAGGTAAAATGTCAAAAAGAGGTAGACTGAGTGCAAATTTAAATCACGACTTGTTTCACTATTTAACAACTGAACTGACTRGAAAATTGGTGATTTACCCGTCTCAGTTTGTAAACAATCAGCTAACAGCAGAACCTGAATTAGCTTTTTTGCTAACTTCGAAAACCATTAGCWGACCAATTAGCTTCCATTAAATTAAGTTTTGCAAACTTTAAATACGGTAACAAACTAACACCACCAGTCTTTAGGTGGAAGCTAGGAGACAAAGACGTGTGACGCAGACTGAGTGACTATCATCTTAGCTGTTAGCGGTTAGCTATTAATGTTAGCTTCCACTAATTTTTACTTGTTCTATTTAACATTCATGAAACTATAGCCAATTTGTGGTGTGGACAAAATGTCGGTAATTGGATAGCGTTAGCCTCCGCTTATTTATTTATTTACATGTTTAGCATTAGTGAAGCAATATTTTTATTTAATGGCTTGTGAGTAAGAGAAGCTAACTTTATGATTAGCTGTGCCCACCACTGGAAGCTTGTTAATCAAAAAGTAGTTCCACCATTAATGTAACTAGATTTTATCGCCTTTCCTTTGAAAATTTGGTCAGAATTCATACATGAACGTAAAAGGTAGCGGCTAAGATGTAAAAAGAGGGAGGCAAACATCAGATTGGGATAGACTGGGGAGTTTCTGCATGTTTACTGAAATGTTTACAAAAATGTAAGGACATTTCTGTTACTTCTATTCTGTTGTTATGAGTACAAATCAAACGCTTAAACTAAGACAATATTGATTTCACTTTTCAGACCAGCAGTCCATTCATACAAAAAATGTCTATTTTCTTCATTATAGTATTTGTTTTAAATGTTAATGTTTGTGTGAAATAGGATGACTCTACTGTAGAGGTTAAACTCTTTGAAGACTGGATCTTAAAGCACTAATCTTTCTCTAAAAATAAATTGATATTTATTGGACAACATTACAAAAACTTTAAAATAAATATTGCAAATGATTCATTTAAATTAAGCAATATTATTATTTTTTGCAAAACAAAAACCAACAGACTGAATTTTCCCCCTGAGATAGCCTGTTTGATTGACTTTTTGAAGGCCAATGAGGAAAAAATGTTCAAGCAAAAGCAATTTTCCTGTCTAAAAAAKAGTCCAGTGACGCTAAATCAACTTGGTAAAATTAGAGGCTTTAAAATCTGTCATTTAAATATGAGAAGTCTTGTACCTAAACTGGATGAATTCAAAGTAATACTTGCTCAGACACAAGCACGTGTTATGGCTATATCAGAATCATGGCTGACTCCTGTTATACCAAATTCATTTCTTTCAGTTGAAAATGATTCATTGTATCGTAGAGACCGTACTGATAGGCTTGGAGGTGGTGTTGCAGTTTATGTTCACAAGAAATACTCACATTCTATGATAGAATTGTCAACGGTCAACTTTCATCATCTGCAATACAAATGTTTTCCTCTTATTTGACTGATAGGTGTCAGGTTGTGAAACATGGAAGC